ATTGGCGATGACGTAATGGCGGCAAGTCTATCGCAGGCTTAACAAATTCAAATATAAAGTCTAACATCAGAACATCAGTCAATTAAAACATCATTATAATCTGATACATTTCTTACGATTTGTATTTTTGTATCTAAAGCATATACAGGAATACAGGCAGTGATCTGCAAACTAGGATGTTTTACAGTTATGACGTCAATAAATTAGTCTTCATCAGCGCAGAACTATGCTCCACTTACTATGTATAATCCATTACGGTTGATTTGTAATTAAGTAAACTTACGTTTCGCCGGATTGCCCTTCATTCAAGTCTTCGGTTTACCCGCGCTCATAACATTAGCACAGAATCAGTTGTCCAAAAGAACCAGTTCGGTTCAGACGTGCTGTGTCAGTCATAGTAGGCAATCTGTTCTGTAGTTTCACACTGAATCACGCATGCGCAGTATCATCAGCTCATCGGTTCTCAAATCGGACATGTCTGAAAGAAACGGTTCTAAGTTCAGTATACTGGTGATCCGAAAACCGATGCAACCGGTTCTTGACTCCAGAACGAGAACCGCTCTAACCGGTACGCTGCACGCACGTTCAATATCATCAGCTGCTTTACTCGTGTCGTGTTCATGTTCTATTTATTACAAACTCAATTTGTGAATGTGTCATTGTTAACTATAATTAATTACAGTACAGGTATTTCATAAATCATCCCTTATTCCTATTAAACATACCCCTGACAAACCCCTTTGGCCTATAACCTAACATAATCTTCAACTGAACAAAGTACACAGATTAGATACATTCATCTTTTTAAAAAAAGTAAAATAAAATATATTTAGATCACACTATCTGATTTTTAACAAAATACTTGAATAGCATGCTTTCCGTCCTCTTGAAAAATTACACGCATGCGCAGTATCATCAGCTCATCGGTTCTCAAATCGGACGCGTCCGAAAGAAACAGTTCTCGGTTCAGTGTACTGGTGATCCGAAAACCGATGCAACCGGTTCTTGACTCCAGAACGAGAACCGCTCCAGCAGTGGGCGTGCATGTTCGTTATCCGGCTGCTCTTCAGTTCTCTCTTCACAGCAGTTCAGTCAGTGTACTGTTTGAGTAAATAAATTACTCCGGGATATTGGTTTATTTCGACTCAGAGGGAGTGTCAGCCATGTTAAAAAAGTGAATAACTTAAGTAATTTGTGGATTAATGCTTACTGGAGACGCGAACCGTTTCAAATGATTCAGACCGATTTGGTGAACATGTTCAACCGGTTCACTAAGAAGAACCGGTTAAGTCGAACGATTCGTTCGCGAATCGGACATCACTACTGGAAACACTATGCGGGCAGCAACTGTGCAACTCTGTCAAAACGGTGTTCTTCGGTGAAATACTTTAGCGGTAATGTTGCTTTGAAACACAGGTAAAACAGAACCCATCCTATTTAAAATTAGACCATCAACGCAAAGTGCACATAACATTCTGTAGAAAAATAGTTTATTGTGTTAACAGGCATAACAAAAACATTCACTGTTAGTGTTGTACATTTAAAACGACATCAATAACATCTAAAAGGAAAACACGAAAAAGTAGATGGAAAATGGACAATTTAAAGGGATAGTTCACCCAAAAATGAAAATTCTGTCATCATTTACTCACCCTCAAGTAGTTCCAAACACATATAAATTTATTTGTTCTGCCGAACAGAAAGGGAGATATTTTGAAGAAAGTTTGTAACCAGGCTGTTTTGGGGCACCATTGTACTATGGATTGTACACCACCACAATACTATGGAAGTCAATGGTGCCCCAGAACTGCTCTGTTTCCCACATTCTTCAGAATATCTTCCTTTGTGTTCTGCAGAACAAAGACATTCATACAGGTTTGAAACTACTTGAGGGTGAGTAAATGATGACAGAATTTTCATTTTTGGGTGAACTATTCCTTTAAAAATAAAATAAACCAAAAACGTATCTTGAAAAGAACAAATATGTATTCAGAACGAAGGTATGGATCATTTAGGAAGGAAATGACCATAAAAAACAAAGGTTACTTTTGAAACAGGGCAGACAGCATTCCATCTACAATCGCAAATGTAAACCATCACAAAGCTTTCCAGTCAATGGGCTTCTTCCCTGATTTCTTCAGCAGTTCATTGGTCTTTGAGAAATGTTTGCATCCAAAGAAGCCACGGTGAGCAGATAGTGGCGAGGGGTGGACTGTTTGCAGAACATGGTGTCGTTTCTACAAGTCAACAATCAGAAAACGATGTCTTACTGCCTGTTTGGAATACTTACTGGATCTATTGAAATACGTTTATATATTTAAGCTGGAAATTATTTCATTTATAAACAAAAAAAAAATCACACAATATACCTTGTCGATGGCAGCCCCCTTCTTTTGCGCATAAGAGCCCCAGAGAATAAAAACAAGACCCTGCATGTTAGTGCTGAGCCAGTGTATCACAGCGTCAGTGAAAGTCTCCCACCCCTTGTCTTTGTGAGAGTTGGCCTGGTGTGAGCGCACAGTCAGCACAGCGTTCAGCAACAGAACTCCTACGAAAGACATTCAAGAAGAAATGTCACTGAGCACATTTAAATGCACAAGAAAATTAGCTTATATGCCTATGAGAAAAAAAGACATGACTTCAGAATTAGCATACATTAATTCAAATGTAAGTCATGGATTTTAATGGGACTGGCCAACATTTTCACATGACTTGCTAAAGTTTCAGCACCTGATAACATTTCATCCAGGTAGAAGTGCCATTTTGTGTCCTCACTTTAAAAATTAAAATGATGGCTGAATCAGACATTTGTCTATCCACTAACTTACAAAATGGCCACACTGGCAGAGACTAACTGCTGGATAATGGATAAATTAAAGTCAACTGTCAACTTAGATGAATTGCAAAAAGAACAACTGGTCATTGCAAATGAATACGCTGGTTCAATGCTCCTGATGGAGGGTCAAAATATCTTAATTTCTGTTCCGAAGATGAATGAAGGTTTGGAACGTCATGAGGGTGAGTAGGCCTAATTAATGACAGAATTTAAATTTTTGGGTGAACTATCCCTTTAACATGTACTCCATGAAGAGGAGAAAGTAGAGGATGCACACCTTGCTTTGCCCATCCTGTAAGATCTCCGTGACCAGGTTGCTCAAAGCCTTCGATGTCTGAAGCCAGTTCTTTAAAGATGTTCACCAAGCTGTGAACAGCAAAAGTGTCAAAATCACTGTATCGAAAAACAAAATCATCTAGCCCCTATAATAATTTGTAACATCTTTGTGCTTACTGTATATGCTCAGTGACTTTTAAAAGAAAATAGATTTTGATTAGCAGGACAAAGGCCTGTAAACGTAAGCTGCTAGAATATAATTAGTCACTCTTCAATAGAATAATAATTGTATAAGTTGTCCTATTACTCTCATTGTCTTCTACAGTTAAGAACTTGAGTGTTATGTTTGACAGGAATCTGCCTTTCTCAACCTGGAGGTTTTATCCCAAGGACACCAGGTGCTTCTAGATCCAGCCTTACTCCTGATGGATTTTATAAAGCCTAAACCTACTGTACATCCACCTCATCTGTAAATCTGGAACTCAAAAGACACTTAATTGTTAGTCCTAACAATACAGTAACATAGCTAGCCAATGCTAACAGTATGTTTAGACCAGGGTTCCTCAATAGGTGGCCTGCGGGCCACATCTGGCTAATTAGAGAAAAATGTTTTGCCTGTGCTAATTTCAAATAATGTGGCATGAAAATTCAAACATAGCATCAGAAAGCGACATTAAACATAGTGTCTACACCGGACGCGAGCAGTGCGGCGCGACGCAACAAAATACAATAGAACCCATTATAATCTGTGATGCTGACCTACACTACACGTGGCGCGACATGACAAGTGAGTGGCTGATACCATCTTTGTTATGGAATACACATGTTGGTTCACATTGAGTTGACAATTTAAACGTACCACAAGTTTGCCTAAATTTATTTTCAAGATCTGAGGTAAAATATTTATTGTTGCTTTCAGTATGGCTATAAAGATCACAAAATATTCAAACTCACATTAGACACATTTAACATTGAATAAAGCACATAGTCATTACCTGAGATTATCAAGATCATAGTTTGCGTTGTTCCAGCCGCGACGTCACAGAAAATACTGTTTCTAAAACGGTACGACAAAAAAACTACATGGAAAAGATACTTTTTATTGCGTCCCGTCTGGATGGGACACGGTGTTACAGGTTGATCACCCCCAAAAAATCTAATAATAAAAATATTAATGCTGACAGATCTAATTATTGAATCTGCCATTAGGGGAAGTGGAGAGAAGAGATCCAGTCTGGATCTAAATGCAAAAATGTCCACAATTGTTTGAATAAAACAGACTATGGGGGGGAGGTCTGAATATTTATCTAACAATAATATAATAATAATTTATTTATATATATTTGGAGCTTACCTCCAAACCTAATTAAACACTCATGAACCAGCTAATCACGGTCTTCAGGATTACTAAAACTTTTCAGGCAAGTGTGTTGGATCAAAACTTAGATACTAGGCTTCCAGGGGCAGGACTGGACACCCCTGAACAAAGGAGAACTGAGTGTAGTCTTTTTTCTTCTTCCTGTATTTAACAAAAAAATTTAGTTTTTTTCCTTTAGCTTTCCGAGAAGCTAAAGAAGGGAAAACTTCCTGCAGATCTTAGCTTCAACCCTAATTGAAAACTGTGGGCTTTGGCCCTCCAGGGATCTGAATTTTGCACCCATGAACTAAGAAAATAATTTATACTATGAAAATAGTATTTGATACATATCAAAATAAGGTACTCCAGTCTGTAAAGCTGCTTTGAAATGATGTGTATTGTGAAAAGCATTATAAAAATAAACCCTGACTTGATGACTGCAGGGCAATACCTTGGTGGAGGTGGCACAGGTCTCTGCACGCTGAAACAAAGCCCATGAGCCTGGTTAGGTCCATGATAAGGATCCTGGCCAAGAATCACAACCTTTACCTACCATCACAAGAAAAAAAATGATTATTATATTCTCAGAAAACCATGCAGTAATTTAAGAGCAAATAAACATCTTGGCATGTTTTGAACAGAATTTTGTACAAATGGTTATTGTCGATGGCAGCCCCCTTCTTTTGCGCATAAGAGCCCCAGAGAATAAAAACAAGACCCTGCATGTTAGTGCTGAGCCAGTGTATCACAGCGTCAGTGAAAGTCTCCCACCCCTTGTCTTTGTGAGAGTTGGCCTGGTGTGAGCGCACAGTCAGCACAGCGTTCAGCAACAGAACTCCTACGAAAGACATTCAAGAAGAAATGTCACTGAGCACATTTAAATGCACAAGAAAATTAGCTTATATGCCTATGAGAAAAAAAGACATGACTTCAGAATTAGCATACATTAATTCAAATGTAAGTCATGGATTTTAATGGGACTGGCCAACATTTTCACATGACTTGCTAAAGTTTCAGCACCTGATAACATTTCATCCAGGTAGAAGTGCCATTTTGTGTCCTCACTTTAAAAATTAAAATGATGGCTGAATCAGACATTTGTCTATCCACTAACTTACAAAATGGCCACACTGGCAGAGACTAACTGCTGGATAATGGATAAATTAAAGTCAACTGTCAACTTAGATGAATTGCAAAAAGAACAACTGGTCATTGCAAATGAATACGCTGGTTCAATGCTCCTGATGGAGGGTCAAAATATCTTAATTTCTGTTCCGAAGATGAATGAAGGTTTGGAACGTCATGAGGGTGAGTAGGCCTAATTAATGACAGAATTTAAATTTTTGGGTGAACTATCCCTTTAACATGTACTCCATGAAGAGGAGAAAGTAGAGGATGCACACCTTGCTTTGCCCATCCTGTAAGATCTCCGTGACCAGGTTGCTCAAAGCCTTCGATGTCTGAAGCCAGTTCTTTAAAGATGTTCACCAAGCTGTGAACAGCAAAAGTGTCAAAATCACTGTATCGAAAAACAAAATCATCTAGCCCCTATAATAATTTGTAACATCTTTGTGCTTACTGTATATGCTCAGTGACTTTTAAAAGAAAATAGATTTTGATTAGCAGGACAAAGGCCTGTAAACGTAAGCTGCTAGAATATAATTTGTCACTCTTCAATAGAATAATAATTGTATAAGTTGTCCTATTACTCTCATTGTCTTCTACAGTTAAGAACTTGAGTGTTATGTTTGACAGGAATCTGCCTTTCTCAACCTGGAGGTTTTATCCCAAGGACACCAGGTGCTTCTAGATCCAGCCTTACTCCTGATGGATTTTATAAAGCCTAAACCTACTGTACATCCACCTCATCTGTAAATCTGGAACTCAAAAGACACTTAATTGTTAGTCCTAACAATACAGTAACATAGCTAGCCAATGCTAACAGTATGTTTAGACCAGGGTTCCTCAATAGGTGGCCTGCGGGCCACATCTGGCTAATTAGAGAAAAATGTTTTGCCTGTGCTAATTTCAAATAATGTGGCATGAAAATTCAAACATAGCATCAGAAAGCGACATTAAACATAGTGTCTACACCGGACGCGAGCAGTGCGGCGCGACGCAACAAAATACAATAGAACCCATTATAATCTGTGATGCTGACCTACACTACACGTGGCGCGACATGACAAGTGAGTGGCTGATACCATCTTTGTTATGGAATACACATGTTGGTTCACATTGAGTTGACAATTTAAACGTACCACAAGTTTGCCTAAATTTATTTTCAAGATCTGAGGTAAAATATTTATTGTTGCTTTCAGTATGGCTATAAAGATCACAAAATATTCAAACTCACATTAGACACATTTAACATTGAATAAAGCACATAGTCATTACCTGAGATTATCAAGATCATAGTTTGCGTTGTTCCAGCCGCGACGTCACAGAAAATACTGTTTCTAAAACGGTACGACAAAAAAACTACATGGAAAAGATACTTTTTATTGCGTCCCGTCTGGATGGGACACGGTGTTACAGGTTGATCACCCCCAAAAAATCTAATAATAAAAATATTAATGCTGACAGATCTAATTATTGAATCTGCCATTAGGGGAAGTGGAGAGAAGAGATCCAGTCTGGATCTAAATGCAAAAATGTCCACAATTGTTTGAATAAAACAGACTATGGGGGGGAGGTCTGAATATTTATCTAACAATAATATAATAATAATTTATTTATATATATTTGGAGCTTACCTCCAAACCTAATTAAACACTCATGAACCAGCTAATCACGGTCTTCAGGATTACTAAAACTTTTCAGGCAAGTGTGTTGGATCAAAACTTAGATACTAGGCTTCCAGGGGCAGGACTGGACACCCCTGAACAAAGGAGAACTGAGTGTAGTCTTTTTTCTTCATCCTGTATTTAACAAAAAAATTTAGTTTTTTTCCTTTAGCTTTCCGAGAAGCTAAAGAAGGGAAAACTTCCTGCAGATCTTAGCTTCAACCCTAATTGAAAACTGTGGGCTTTGGCCCTCCAGGGATCTGAATTTTGCACCCATGAACTAAAGAAAATAATTTATACTATGAAAATAGTATTTGATACATATCAAAATAAGGTACTCCAGTCTGTAAAGCTGCTTTGAAATGATGTGTATTGTGAAAAGCATTATAAAAATAAACCCTGACTTGATGACTGCAGGGCAATACCTTGGTGGAGGTGGCACAGGTCTCTGCACGCTGAAACAAAGCCCATGAGCCTGGTTAGGTCCATGATAAGGATCCTGGCCAAGAATCACAACCTTTACCTACCATCACAAGAAAAAAATGATTATTATATTCTCAGAAAACCATGCACTAATTTAAGAGCAAATAAACATCTTGGCATGTTTTGAACAGAATTTTGTACAAATGGTTAATGAAATAAATTACTCAAGGCAACTCTCTAGAGTGTCCCAAATGGAACAACAACAACAATGGTATTTGGTATCAGGTGGTATTTGGAGACATATCCACCTGCAGAACCAGTCATACAGAACAGTGGTTTCTGACCAGCAGTATCAGAATGAACATTATGGCAGAGATGATTCTTGTTCTAGAAATTGGCTTTGTGGTCACTTTTTTTGTCTCGAGCTTTGCTAGGGATAATAGGCCAGAAAACAACCAATGATTTAATTTATACTATGAAAATAGTATTTGATACATATCAAAATAAGGTACTCCAGTCTGTAAAGCTGCTTTGAAATGATGTGTATTGTGAAAAGCATTATAAAAATAAACCCTGACTTGATGACTGCAGGGCAATACCTTGGTGGAGGTGGCACAGGTCTCTGCACGCTGAAACAAAGCCCATGAGCCTGGTTAGGTCCATGATAAGGATCCTGGCCAAGAATCACAACCTTTACCTACCATCACAAGAAAAAAATGATTATTATATTCTCAGAAAACCATGCACTAATTTAAGAGCAAATAAACATCTTGGCATGTTTTGAACAGAATTTTGTACAAATGGTTAATGAAATAAATTACTCAAGGCAACTCTCTAGAGTGTCCCAAATGGAACAACAACAACAATGGTATTTGGTATCAGGTGGTATTTGGAGACATATCCACCTGCAGAACCAGTCATACAGAACAGTGGTTTCTGACCAGCAGTATCAGAATGAACATTATGGCAGAGATGATTCTTGTTCTAGAAATCATTTGATGAGAATTCATATTTAGAAAGAATTATTTACGAATATTTCAGTTTGACTACACTGACACTATCGGATGAGAGAACAAAATCAGAATTGAACCGAGTTGGATAATGACACCACTGACTTCTGTAGAGCTGCTTTAAAGTTGAATTTGTTTCATTAACTGTCATTTTTGAATGCATACATCTTTTAATAACAAACTATCAATGTTTAGAATTACACAATTAGCATACAAACCCAGACAGCAAACCTCCAAGATGTCTGTTAAATTGATAGTTCACCCAAAAAGAAAATCTTGACATAATTCACTCACCCTTAAAGAGTTAGTTCACCTAAAAATGAAAATTCTGTCATTAATTACTCAACCTTATGTTGTTCCAAACCCCTAAGACTGAAGATGAACAAAGGTCTTAGGGGTTTGGAACAACATAAGGTTGAGTAATTAATGACAGAATTTTCATTTTGGGGTGAGCTATCCCTTTAAGTTGTTCCGAACCTGTATGACTCTTGTTTCTTCAGCAGATTTTCTTTTATGTTTCTCGGAAGTCAGTCAGTCAGTCATGCAGGTTTGAAACAATATGAGAGTAAGTAAATAATGCCAATTTCCATTTTTGGATGAACTATCACCTTAATAAAAATGTGATTTGGAATCTGATAAACTGATTTTTTTAAAGCAGTTTTACATACATTCTAAATCATAAACATCTTAAAGACGTTGTCTAAATGTCTGTTTAACTACTGACTGGACATGGTTCAGAAAAATACTGCTGATGAGCAAATATACAAAAACGCATCTTCAAGCTGAAAATGTGAACATCAAATTAGTTCTCCACAATCATAGGCCTATATGTGCAATGAGGGGATGACCGTAAAGCTAATAAACATAAAAAAACAACAAAACTTGATATCATGGGGTCTTTAGAAGTAAAATTAAGAACATAAGCACTGTGTGCAAGCTATGCTCCTGTACACCTATAATCTAATCTGTCAAAAAAAAAAAAAAGAGCAATTGGCTTTGTGGTCACTTTTTTGTCTCGAGCTTTGCTAGGGATAATAGGCCAGAAAACAACCAATGATTTTGACCTGCCTAACATATGAACATGACACCCAACTTACATCTTTTATGTCACATGTTTGTGTCCAGGTAAAAACTTCATTTTCAGGTGGATAGATGGTGTGTTTTTGCCTCTCCTCCGCAACAAATGACATTAACTGCGAAAGAGAAACACTATTGTATCACTCTTCATTTTAGAAAGTTGAAAATAAAAATTGTTTTACTTACTGATTTAAAGTAGGGCTTCCCGAATTCTGCGTTGAGCGCTTTCTTCCAGCTCTCTCCAATCCCGTTCGGTACAGCTTGGTTTGCAGCGAGCCTTTCCAGAGCCGCCTTCTTGTTTTTGGAAATCCGTTCAACTTGCTCAGGACTCAGGGACAGTGAGGATGCAACATCGTCGCGCTCCAACTTTCGTTTTTTCCCCTGAGACAATATTTGAATATATTTGGTTGAACTCCGTGTCCGCTTGGCAAAAAGACCGGACATTTGTACATTTAAAAACCTAAGGCAAGCTATGTTGGAAAACATTGCTTATTTATTACATCTTAGGATGCTTTCTCAGAATGCATGAGAGTTGTGATGCCAACTTGTAGCGTGAATTACACGACACGATAATCCTTTAGCAGTTTACCACGTGGTGCATTCGCGGTCATATTCAAGAAAACCGTAGTTATATACAACTACACTAACAGACGTGAAATGAATTCGTTTACACTGTCTCAACACATTTTCGCAGTCAATTGTTTGTAATAATCTGCACTAGCGTTTGTTTAGGCAAGTGACGTAACAGTACTTCCGGAATTGTGTAAACTTTAGCGGGAAGGATAAAATAGCGAGGTTTTAATCAGAGCTAATTCTATTTGCTAAATAAATGACAACATGTTCAACAGATAAATAAAACACAGCCACTTTCATTAATAATTCCCGCGAAACGTGTACGCATATCCAGTCGTGCCAGAATAAAGCGTATTTTACTCACATGATCTCTTGCATCGCCTGGGCATGTATGTATCTCGTCCAGATGTCTTTTTTTGGTCATTGGCGAAAAAAATGAGGTGATACTTTTCTGTCCAATCATTTCCACAAATAAAATGATTATTTAAACGAAACAAAGTTTAAAGGAACAACACTGTAGGTATGGACGCGTGATAGTGTTTGAAGAGCTGCTGTAACTCCCGCCAGCTAGACGTCTGTGACGTAGTTACGTGAGGGCGTAACATTTTCAACTTGTGTAGGGTGACAAGATAATGGTTGTTACATTCAAAACTTCACATAAATGCTACTCTTGTGACAACACACTTTATATTAAATATAGAGGGCTCTGTGACGATTGATTGGGGGGGGGGGGTCTGAATAAAATCTTTTAATATTACAACACAAACTCTTATATTCAGTTTGCTCTTGGTATATACATAAATGCACATTTTTTTAGGTGAGAATCCTGTACTGTCAATTCTTTTGGTAGACTATAATTATGTCCACAATGGGCAAAAAAAAAACCGTTTAATGTTTAGCCTCATATTTACATTTACATTACATTTAGTCATTTAGCAGACGCTTTTATCCAAAGCGACTTACAAATGAGGACAATAGAAGCAATCAAAACTAACAAAAGAGCAACAATATATTAGTGCAAATGACAAGTCTCGGTTAGCCTAACGCAGTACACGTAGCAAGTTTTTATCTATCTATATATATATATATATATATGAATTAAGAAACAAAATACTGATGTTAAAAAATGACTGAATTCATACCAGAAGTCCTTACCAATATGTAGTAGAATATATATATATTATTGATTTTCTTTAAACAAGAGATCAGTTTTGCTAATGAGTTTTTACAGGTTATGGTGGTCAGATTAAACCTTGACTGTGAAAGGTGAAGTGATAATAAAATGAATCTAAATCCTCAAGTGCACAATAATTATTGCCATCCCAAATGATCAAATGATCAACAATGTAATAATGGTTATGCAATAACTGTAATAATCCCACTGAGGTCACACCTTTAAAAAGGTCAATTGTAAAGAATCTCTGTACTTATAAATTACTCTGTACTTACTCATATAAATGTTTTTCTCTAGCTTTTGGCTTTTGTATTATTTATTTATTTCTGTTGCTCTTATTGTAGGCCTACATGTTGGTATAGTATAATGTAAGTTGATTTTGGCATAAATAATAAAAAAGTTTGTGTAGAGTGGTATGGCTATCATGTTATTGCACCTTTTATTTTGTTCTGTAACTTTGTTATGTGTCACTATTATTAATATAACTTAATAATGAGGATTATAAATTCTTTGATAAGAGATAATCGCACAACCAGAGGAAAGAGAGAACTGAAAACGAAGAAAGCATTTTAGAGATGGCATTGCGCCGTTAGAGAACCCTGCAAGGGACACAAGACAAGATCATATGAAAAGTAAAAGAGAGGCATTTCAACATAACCACAGCGACCCTGTGTGGTCGCTGGTGAATCAAACATTCCAGCAAACCCCGTAACCAAATGCTCTTCTCATCTCCCAACAAAGTTTAATTGTTTTCTCAAATGTGATCATAATTGTCAAAATTCTGTGAGTATGATTTCCCACATAACATATACTGCCACGGAATAACATATAGACATATTGAAGTTGTAGGCTACCATAAATTTTTTCCTCACACACACAAAAAAAACAACAACATTCTTGTTCACTCCCATTGTTTTCCACATATTGAGCAGCACATACAGGAGAAAATGTTTTACTATTTTGAACAAAGGTTAGGCTAGGAACAAAAATAGCCTATTTCACACAAACTTAAAATGAAACAAAAATAGATAGCCTATATTACTATCAAAGTAATTATGGTGAAAATAGCAGGGACCTCCCAGGTTTCCACTGACCTACTGGACACTGATCTCTATGTATCATAATCATCTCCACAGCAAAATAATCTTCAAATAAAATATAATAAATTCTCATAATCCGAGTGTCAAATCTACAGTCATACTCTGTTTTGTGTGTCTGCTTGTATGTGTATGTTCCTGATGTAGTTGCATCCTTTAATCCAGGGGAAGATATTGAAGGGATAAGTGCTTATGTTGTTAGAATCAAAACAGGGAATATAATAATAATCATAGACAGGCTGATCAGTGCACAATGTTAGGTGATCCTGAATAACACCTTTTCATTTTCATTTTCCTTTTCAGACTCCAGTTCATTTTACTATTACAGCACAAGATGGCAGTACAGCCAACCTTTTAGCTGTAACAACAACAACAACAACAACAATCTATCTATCTAGGCCTATCTAGCTATCTGTCTATCTATCTATCTATCTATCTATCTATCTATCT